GGAAAGATTTTCTATCTCATTAGGATGCAAACACCATGATGACAATTGAATTTGTGAACTTGTGCAATGGGAATTTAGATACATCACTCTGACGAAATATTTTAAAGCTGGAAGGAAAGTTAAGAGTCATTTTAGTCCCTCTCCTTCATTGCATGGGAGAGGCGACTGAGGCATGAAGGATGACATTCCTCCAACACTGCACTAGACACGCATCTTCACAGTCTCCCACACTACACACATGGATTTTGAAATTCTATGGCTACTGGAACCAGCATAGTTCTAGATTCTGCTACAGACATGCTGGAGTCCTGGGCTTGGAAAAATGGAGGGACAGTGTGCCTGGGCAGTGTGAGCACTAGCAAGCTGTCAGGCAGTGGAGCCTCCCGGAAGAGAAACAGCAAGCCACAGTCAGGCACATCCCACCGATAGTGTGTCTGCTGCAATCCCCCCTTCCCCTTACGGTCACCACAAGGCCTGTGAGTGCCTGTACCAGCAATTGTATGTGCCACTTCCCTCCTGGCCAAATATACCACTGCTCTCTTGGGTCAGAATCTGCTTTTTGATCTATCAATTGTCAATCTATTCAAATAATCCATAGAAAACTAGACAGAAAATAGGCAAGGATATAGAACTGAACAACACATTCAGACAACAGGATCCAGTCCATCCACTGATGGCGGGATACATACTCTTTTCAAGGCCATGGAGCATTTGCCAAGATAGACCATATCCTGGATGGCAAATCAAACATTAACACATTCAAAAGAATTAAACTCATATAGAGTATATTCTCTGATCATAGTGGAATCAGGCTAGAAATCCATAACATACAATAGGAATATGTCCAAGTACTTGGAAACTAAAAACACACTTCTCTTTTTTTGTACAGAAATGTTCACAGCAGTTTTATTCACAAAAGTCAAAATTTGGAAACAATTCCATTTCAAAACCTAAAACACAATGATCGATCTCCCTCTTCAAGAGTAAAATTTGGGAATGTTTTTCAGTTGAAAAATCACGTCCTTATTGGGATGAAAGTTCTCTATGAGACCAAGCTTGTTTTTTTTGTTTTTTTTTTTAAACTTTTATTTTAACTTCAGGGGTACATGTGCAGATTTCTTATATAGATAAACTCATGTCATGGAGGTTTGTTGTACACATTATTTTATCACTCAGGTAATTAGCCAAGTACCCATTAGTTATATTTCCTGATCCTTTCCCTCCTCCAATCCTCCACCCCCAAATAGGCCCCAGTGTCTGCTGTTCCCCTATGAAACAGGCTTCTAAATAATTCATGAGTTAAAGCAAAAAATTTCAAGGGAAATTTAAAAACACACTGAACTGAATGAAAATGAAAATATGACATAACAAAATTCATGGGATGAAGTTAAAGAATTACAGAAAGGAAAAGTTCCTTACATAAGAAAATAATAGTCTCAAATCAAAGACTCTAAGTTCTACTTCAAAAAGAAGAAAACCAAAATAAGCCCAAAGCAAGAAAAATAAAGGAAATAATAAGTATAAAAGCAAAACTGATGTCATTGGGAACAAAAATAACAGAAAAAGTACCACACAAAAAGTTGGTTCTTTAAAAAGGTCAATAAAATAAACCTCTAGCAAGACTGACAAAAAAAGGAAGATGACACCAGTTACCAGTATCAGAAATGAAGCAGGGATATTATTATAGGTCCTACAGACATCACAAAAGATGATGAGGGAATATCATGAACAATGCTAAACACATAAATTTGACAACTTAAAAGAAATGGATCAATTTCTTGAAAAAATCACCACAACTTTAATATGAAAGTGATCATTTGAATAGACTTATTAAGGAAATGAAAAAAACTCCCAGAAAAGAAATCTCCTGGCCCAGAGGGTATCACTGGAGAATTTTATCAAACATTTAAAGAATCAACACAAACCCTTATATAATCTCTTCTAGAAAACCGAAGATGAGGGAGTACTTCCCAACCCATTGTATAAAGCTCCTATTACCCAAGACTGAAAAAATAGTCCCTTAAACATGGAAATGCAAAAATCCTTAACAAAATATTAGCAAATAGAATTCAGCAATATACAAAAGGAGGTTTTTAAAAGAGGTTTTTTTTTTTTTTTGAGACGGAGTCTCGCTCTGTTGCCCAGGCTGGAGTGCGGTGGCCAGATCTCAGTTCACTGCAAGCTCCACCTCCTGGATTTATGCCATTCTCCTGCCTCAGCCACCTGAGTAGCTGGGACTACAGGCGCCGCCACCTTGCCTGGCTAGTTCTTTGTATTTTTAGTAGAGACGGGGTTTCGCTGTGTTAGCCAGGATGGTCTCGATCTCCTGACCTCGTGATCCGCCCATCTTGGCCTCCCAAAGTGCTGGGATTGGAGGCTTGAGCCACCGCGCCCGGCCTTAAAAGAGTATTATTAAACACCATGACTAAGTGGGATTTACTCCAGGGATACCATACTGATTCAATATTTGAAAATCAATTAATATAATCCACCGTATTGACAGACTGAAGAAATAATCATATAATCATACCAACTGATGCAGTAAAAGGAAGCCTTTGGTGAAATTCAAGGCCCATTCATGATTTTTTAAGTATCGTGAAACTTTTTTTTAATGTATCAGAAAACTAGGAATAGACAGAACTTTCTCAAGTGGATAAAGAACATGTACAAAATACCGCCAGCTAATACCACACTTCATGGGAAAAGACTGAAGGCTTTGCCCCAAGATCTGGAACAAGGCAGAGATGTCCATTCACACCACTGCTGTTCAACACAGTGCTGGGAGTTCTAGCCAGGGCAACAGGCAAGAAAAAATAAATAAAAGATACCCAGATTGGAGAGCAAGAATGAACACTCTCCCTATTTGCAGATGACAATGATGGTGTACATAGAAAATGCCAAGGAACCTACCAAAACAAAACCAAAAAAAAGTCCCAAACTTCTATTACTAATAAGTTCAGCAAGTCAGAGAACACATCAACATACCAAAATCAATTGTATTTACTATACTAGCAACTAACACAGGCAAAATGCAATGTGAAAATACAGTACTATTCACAATCACTCCAAAACACAATACTTTGTCATAAATCTAACAAAATACATTCAGGACATATCTCTTGAAAACTAGAAACCACTGATATAATGATATAATAACATAAAGAAGGTCTAAATAATGAAAAGACCTATCATATGCACGGATTGGAAGATGCAACATGGTGGAGACGCCAGTTCTTTCCAGATTGATACCTACACTTAACAAACTCCTACCAAATCCCAGCAGAATCTTTCTGTAGTTACAGAAAAAATTATTCTAAAATTTATATCGGAAAGCATATGAACTATAAGAAGTTAAGATGAGTTAATGTTGAAAAGGAGGAAAAAAGAGGTTGAATTACTTGATAAAATTTGAAGACATAATACAGCTATGGTAATAAAAAATGTGGGTATAGACAGAGTGACAGACACACAGATAAAACAGAACGAAACAAAGAACCAGGAGTAACCCACACCAGTCAAGTCAGCTGATTTCTGACAACTTCATAAAAGCAATTCAGTCCAGGAAGGACAGTCTCTCCAACAAATGGTGCTGGAGTAACTGGGCATCCACGGAGGGCGGGGGAAAATAAATTAGATCTGAATCTTACATTTTCATTTTATATAAAAATCAAAACAGTTAACAAATTAAACTGTAAGGGATGAAATTATAAAACTTTCAGAAGAACACAAAGGAGAAAATCTTCAAGAGCTAGGGCTTCATACAGAATTCTTAGACAATACTCTAACAGCATGCTCCATAAAAGAAAAATCAATAAAATTGGATTTTGTCAATATTAAAAATGTTTCCTCTGTGAAAGATGCTATTAAAAGGATTAAAAGCAAGCTATGGATCTGACATAAAGGATCATACCTAGGATATATAGAGAACCCTCAATCTCAGCAGTAAAAAAATAAAATAAGACCAAATAATCCAATTTTTAAAAGGGCAAATAAGATGAAGAGACAATTCAATGAGAAGGATATACTAATGGCAAAAAAATAAATAAATAAAAGAGGAGTTCAGTATCACTAACAATTAGGGAAATGCAAATTAAGACAACAATGAGATATCAACCTATTAAATACATACCTATTAGAACAGCTAAAATAAAAAACAGTGGGAATACTAGTTGCTGGTGAGGACACAAAGAAACTGGATCTCTCAGATATTGCTGGTGGAAACGAAAAATAGTGTACAAGACGGTGCCTGAAGCAATTAAACATACTTCTGCCATACAACCCAGCAATCGTACTCCTGGGCATTTATCCCAGAAAATACAATCTTATGCTCACATAGAAACCTGTATACAAATGTGCTCAGTCATTTTATTTGCAATAGACAAAAACAGGAAACAATCAAAATGTTCCCCAATAGATGAATGGCTAAAGAAGCTGTGATACACTCATACCACGAATAAATATTCTGCAGTAAAAAAGAATAAACTACTGACATGTGTAACAACTTGAATGAATCTCAAAATCATTTTGCTGGGGAAGAAAAAAAAAAAGCCAGTCTCAAAAGGCCAATGATTCCATATATGTAACATTCTCAAAGTGGCAAAAAGTAAATAAATAAAAAGTAAATAAAGAACAAATTGAACAAATTTGAGGCTGACAATGGTTAGAAATTGGGGGGAAGGAAGCAGATGTGACAGTAAAGGGATAGCAAGGGGAATACAAGATCCACTTTCGCTTGATGAGTTGTTCTGTATCTTGATTTCAAGGATCGTTACATAAGCCTACATGGGGTAAAATGACACAGAGCCATGCTCCTGAATGGCACCAATGTCAGTTTCCTGGTTTGGTATCCCACTAAGTTATCTATTGTGTGACAAGTACAAGAGACCTTTCTGTACTGCCTTTGCCATCCTCTTGGAATTTACAATTACTCAAAAGTAAAACCTTTAAAACCTATCACTACAGAATATTTTTCTATCAGAATAACAAGAAACAACACTCACTTCCAATATCCGGCCTCAGCTTTTTATCATATTCTCTTAGCAGCTTGTTGAGAATAAGAGTCACGTCAGTGTCTTGGGATTTTGGAGCCAAGACCCACTTTTGGTTTGATGACGAATCTTCATATTCATCCTCTTCCACCTTTCTGGACCTGGAGTTATAGCACAAAAATGCGACAAGTAAGTGGCAGCAATGGCTCTAGGAAGAGCCTAAGTTTGTCCTATCCAAGTACCATGAAATGGGTAGAAAGTCCCCAGTACCCACAGCCCAACCACACATGTGAAACCCCGAAAATTTTTTTAAAAAAGAAAGAAACACAAAATAGGAATGATTCCATAAGAAGAATGCTACTGCTATTAACAAGGTACGTTTTTATTAAATGTCACAAGACCATCCCCCATCCCAGTTAAACTACAGACAACGTGGCAGGTAAACAATACCAGAGGGCTAACCAGCAGGCAACACGACCCTTGAATCCACCCCGAGAGACTGTGAAGGCCAAGGCACAAACCTTCTAGAGATTTTCCATTCGGGGATTGTATCATGTTGTTTCCACCCCGACCACCAAGACCTCATTTTAGTTGAAGGTAAGATTAGCTTTTGCAGACTGGACTCATTCAAAATAGTTGAGTCTGACTCTGTGCTTCTCTTGGAGGCGGGAATCTGGGGGTCTAGACACTTGGATATTGTGAGGGGGTCTGCTTTGCCGGCACTCAGGTTGGAAGCAAGGACAGAGATGTCTGCTGGTGACTAGTGAAGACCCTCTGGCAATCTTACACGCCTCGGTCCACACAAACCGATTCATCTTCTGCACAGCAGGCTAACACAGACATGAAAAACTACGCTTTCGAATACATCTTCAACATTCTGACTTCTTAGTAAATGAGTCTCAGTGAACGCCTGGGCATCTCTGAGCTTGTTTTGTGCAGAGAGGAGCTGGACAGCCTCCTCTCCCGGGTGGCACGCACTGACAGGAGTGCCTGAATGGAGAGGCCTCAGGATGACCAGCTAGTTTTACTTTTTAATTTTTTTTTATTTTTATTTTTTATTTTTTTGGTTCTGCAGTTTTCGGGTTTTTTTCATTTGTTTGTTTGTTTTGTTCTGTTCTTTTTTTTTTTGAGACGGAGTCTCGCTCTATCGCCCAGGCTGGAGTGCAGTGGCATGATGTCGGCTCACTGCAAACTCCGCCTCCCGGGTTCACGCCATTCTCCTGGCTCTATTTTTTGTATTTTTAGTAGAGACGGGGTTTCACCGTGTTAGCCAGGATGGTCTCGATCTCCTGACCTTGTGATCCGCCGGCCTCGGCCTCCCAAAGTGCTGGGATTACAGGCGTGAGCCACTGCGCCCAGCCCAGTTTTCGGTTTAAAAAAAAAAAATTGGTTTATAATTGACACACACTTGTACTTGACAAGCTGGTTTTCTCAATGAGTGAGGCCATCTCAACACTATAGTCACGTGGGCTTAGAGAGCGGACAGTCTCTTTCTGCCTTAAAGCAGCATTTCCAGGCAGACTACCGTTGGCCCCAGCAAGAAAGCATGTGAAGTAAACCAACCTTTTCCTTTCTAGTTTGTCAGTGTGCATGCTTTAGTAACTTTCTCTTCACAGAAGAGAATAAAAAGAATCGAAAACTGCACGGAGGCAGATTTGTCCTGACTGGATACGAACTCTTTTCTGTTTAGCTTCCTAGATGGGAGCCAGAATGTTAGTGTCATGTCAGGACGCTTGTGCTCTGGGATGTGAGTTTCTTGAACTTAATTTTGAGAATTGTCTAAATTATCTATAATTCACAAGATGTTAATTTAAAAAAAAAATTTTCACGTTCATTTTTGCTACTGAATTCAGGTCTTCCTATATACACATATGCATACTTATGTAATATATACATGAGTCTTTTAAAGTGTGTTAACTAGCCATAATGTAGACTAGAGTGTTGGCCGGAGAGTCTAAACCTGGATGAACATGTACATAAACGAGAGATCTTGACAATGAGTATACGGCATATGTCTGAAAGAATGACTTCCCCACTTACGTTTTTCCTATGCTGATCTTAAACTGTAATTCTATTCCTTGAGTACCTATTGGCTAGAAGGTTAAATTAAATCATCCACAGGAACTATAAATTGCTGTTGATTTTTATGCACATTTGATATTCATGATCGATAGGAACTTTTAAATGTGGGGCACATATTCAGTAAGGAATATGTTGCATTTCATTATTTATAAAAGTGAACATTTACAAGTAATACTACAGAATTTTAAATGTTACTCTAAAATATTTCACGTCATCTGGCCGGGCATGGTGGTTCATGCCTCTAATCCCAACACTTTGGGAAGCTGAGGTGGGTGGGTCATCTGAGGTCAGGAGTTCGAGACCAGCCTGGCCAACAGCGTGCAACCATGTCTCTACTAAAAATACAAAAAAAGTAGCTGGGCATGGTGGCACATGCCTGTAGTCCTGGCTATTCGGGAGGCTGAGGCAGGAGAATTGCTTGAACCCAGGAGGCAGAGGTTGCAGTGAGCTGAGATAGTGCCACTGCACTCCAACCTGGGCAACAGAGCAAGACTCCATCTCAAACAATAATAATAATAATAATAATAATAAATTTTAAAATTAAAATATTTTGTGTCATCAGGAGTATTATCAGAAATGTTAATTTTATCATCTTGCAAAATTTTTTTAAAACTTAAAGAGCAGGTTGAAGCATTTAGATAGCTGGGAATCAAGCACTGCCCACAGGACAGGGCAAATCACTACAGAGCAAGGGCATCTGGAGCAGTGAGGAGAGGCTGGTAGCTCATCTCAGCAGAATCTGGCACAACATGCTCAGGACACTTGGCGATTCAGCCCAGGCGCCTTCCTCCCTCTCTCTGCTGTCTCTGTCTCTTCCCCTCTCTCTTCTTCCCCTCCCCTCCCATTCTCCTCCCCTCTCCTACCCCCACCACTACAGAGCCAGACCACAGACTCCACAGTCTGTTATTGTCTATGGCCCTGACAGTCACATACACACAAACCGAGCACAGTAACCAGCTTTTCATCATTCTCTGTATACGCAGCCTTCGTTTTTGAAAATTACTTCCAGCTACTTACAGGTATTCTAATAAGCCTAATTCTCCCTCTAGTGGTGATGACAGGGTTTTCCTGAAATTGCAAGAGCTTCCTCCTTGGAGGCCAGTACAGGTGGCAGTGAGGGGGACCAAGAAAAAGCAAGCAGAAATGTTCTCTTCCACCCCTTCAGGAGGCATATCAGGGCCCCAGCTGTGTAACCTGGTTGGGTAGGCAGTGGGAAGAGTGAGGCCGAGATGCTCTAGGTCCCTGGGCTGTGAGCACCCTTCTCCCTCAAATCCTGAAAATGAAATAGAAGCCTCACATTGCTAGTGCCAGACCACCAGGCCCACAGGAAAATCCCTGCTTTCATGAAAACGAAATCTCATCTCAGAGGACCCATTAGAATGTGGATAATACAGAAATATTTTCTTTCCCTAAATTCTAAGTGAATTATATATAGTCTTTATGAGCACTGTTACTTGCATTGTTGGATCCTAAACACCATTACTGCAATTAGCTTTTTCTTAAAAATAAATCAGTGATGTATTGTCATTGTCAAAAAACAACTCAACCCTCAGATCTTATCTTCATGTCTTACACCTTTGCTTAAAGCAGAAGGACCGAGAAAAAGTCTGAAGTATTTTTAAACATTAAAAGGAGTTCCTAAACCTCAGAAAGCAGTTAAGGCATCACCAAGGTCTGAGTGGGAATCGGTGCGTCTTATGAAGCCCATGGGTGTCAAAATGGGGAGGTCCCCTCCTGGGGAGCTGCTGAGCCATCACCACAAAGCACAGACATCAGACCCTCATCCAAGGAACTTCCACAGCAGGAAGGAACTCAGAGTGCAAATGAGAACCCCCTCCGAATTCAAAACAGTTTGGAAAGATGACACTGCACATCAGATTGCTTCACATGTCTGTGCAACCCATTCAGAGAACAAAGACACGCTCAAAGAAGAGGCATATAGCAATAAAGTTAGTATAAAATTTGGATTTTTTAACTGATCTGCAAGCTCTATTATGAAAGCTGGGAAACCAACCCAAATACAGAACAAATGAAAATCATTATGTCTGTCTTCGCAGAATGGAAGGATGAAGAATCCCAAGAGATTCTGCGTATATTTGGGAATCCCCAGTAACAGGAGTGTTTTAAGGCAGTGGCTAAGGTATTTTCCTAAGCACATGCAGTAGTGAGGACGATAGTCTGTGTTTCTTTTAGAATGTTAAGAATCCAGAGATCTAAACAGTTGATTACTGAACCCGAAGGGCCGGTCACTCGTTTGAGTTGGTGGCAATAGAAAGGTGGCAGAGATGTGACTGCTGGCCTCAACGCTACGCCCGGTGCTGTCTACCTCCCTCTCTGCCTCTAAACAGAGACACAACCAGGAATAAGCAACCTCAGAAGGCATATTTCCATGTCTTTCACCAGCTGCCTCTTTAGATAGAAAGAAACTTCAGCTGAAAGGCCCAAGGAGTGCTCTGTCTCTTTGAAAGAGTTGCCGGTGAGTCACCGGTGGAGTCGGCTTCCACACTCAACTCAGCAAAGAGGAGCAGAGGCAAGGGGGACGGCCAGGGCCTCCTCCCTCAGGGTAAGCTCCCCTGCCCAGTTCAGGAGTGAGAACTGGGGGCCCCTTGATGTGTAGTAGGATTTATTCATGTGTCTTCCTAGCTCCTTGAGAGTTCACAAATATGAATGAAAAGGCCTGATGGTGGCCAGGCTTGTGCGCGCAAGGACGCCCTCTGATTCTCTGGCTCCCAGAGCCAGGAAATGGAGAAGCGTCAAAACAAGAGGGTTTAGGGGCTAGGGGCACGCTGAGCTTCCCAGGGTGGGGAAAGGGGAAGGCCAGACACTGCTCCGATTTTTAAATCACAGGGCAATCAGCAAGTTCTAGCCAGAGATCCAGCCAGAGAGACAGAATTAAAGAAACTAAACCCGAATCTCCAGTTGTGTTTACAGCAACAGGGTTTAACCCTTTGGGTCCCACTGTCTTCGTATCCTCATGCGCCCTCTCAGTCTCCTCTGGAGTGATTCTAAGCTCCCATTAGCTGGCTGGTGTGCTGGGAGGAAGGTTGCGGAATTTATGGTGAGATAATTTCTTACATTACCAGGCAGAAGCCTTATTATCCATTTCAACATGCGTGCTTTATGGGGGTGGGAGTGCGTGTGTTCCTGTGTGTGAAAGTGGCTGATCTGGAAGGTAGGTAGGTGTGCGTGTGTGTGTGTGTTTGCAGGACCTGGCAGGGGAGTCCTCTCAGACAAGCAGGGCTTTCTGCTGCCCACCTGGTCCCAATCCCCCCGCACCTGCCTCCAATGCATTAGCTCTTTCCAGCCCGGTCTAAACTGGGCAGTTAGAACCACGGTTCCCGGGTTCTTGGAAATTTCAGAGTGATGGAAATGACAGAGAATGTCAGCCAAAGTGTGTGTGTGTGAGAGCCCCTGAAACAGCTGAGGTGGGAATTAGGGGTCGATAAGGAGCCAGAAATGGCCCCTGCCCCATGATCCTGGTTTTCAAAACCCCTTAAAATCACCAGATCCTAAAAGCCTCAGGAGACGAGCCATTAATGTGAGTCCCCACACTCCCGGCTGCAGAGGAGAAAGCAGACGACCGCGTCTAAGGGAGCTGGGACAGGTGAGGTGTGGGCCGACTTCCCCGTCCCCTCCCGGCCCGCCGTGCCGCAGCCCAGCCGACGGCTG